CCGATGGCAACACCGCTAATCGGCTCTGAGTGAATTTGACAGAATTAGCTGTTTTGCTGACGTCACAGTCGAGATGACAGCAGTAGTGATGTGCTGAGTCAGTACTTATAAGTATTGATCGATATTCGGTACCGATTTAAAAAGTATCCAATGCTCTCGATACTCGGCACCGAAACATAGGCCAAAAATATGGAAAAACGGTTCAGGGGAGACTCGCCTATCAAAACCCCAATGGAGGGGCCAATAGAGCTTTTAATACTGATTCAAATGAAAGATATATATTTTTTAATATTTTTATTGAGCTTTATACCACAACAACAAAGCAACAAAGTCTAAGCGGTAGAAGTTATAGCAGCTATTTCGGAGATCACCACATCTCTTCATCAGACTTCTTTTTTCTAGACTTCAGCAGGGATCGAACCTGCGTAATCGATGTTCAAAGTCAGAAGCGTTAACCACTGAGCTATGTACATCCCGTAAACTCTTGTTGCTAATTCATTTTCCTTATTCAACCAACTACTATCAAGTGCAGCTGATTTGCCGCTATTTAAACTCGACAGCGTGGTTGTTGTTGTCAATTCTATACATCCATTTGCTTATTTGCTTTTTTGTATAGTTTCAGGCAGGCTCTTCCTAAAGATATATATATGAAAGATATATATATGAAAGATATATATATGTCGGTTCGAGGCCATAGTACACAGAAACTCTTTCTTATTTGAAGCATTTTTGTTCCAGCTGAACCGGACGATATCATTTTTGCCTGGGGCAAATTCTGTAACCAGTTAGAGACAATTTTCGAATCGGTATCGGTTTTTTGGCGTATGATATGAAATATTTTTACGTCAACAAGTGCGATATCGATTCGAAACTTGTCGCTAACTGTTTACAGAATCTCCCCTCTGAAAGGCTTCTTCATACGCCAAAGCATTTTTCGTGAACCTTGGATCGACTAAGGTTGAAACTGATAAAATAATATTTCTCTGTTGCGATAAGTTCAAGTGTTCAAGTAAGATATCATATAAATTAGTAATGAAAGTTTTTTCTAAACTTGAAATTCATATAATGGCGAAGGTTTAATGTAAAGAATCGGTATCGGGTACCGAAAAGGAAGCACTGGGTACCGAAAACTTTTTTAGGTATTGGGTATACGGTTGCCAGACGTACAGATTTTATCAGTACAGTACTGATTTTATCAGTACAGTACTGATTTTTCAACTCTTGTACTGATTTTATTAATTTCTTCAATCAGTACGCTAATGTCCTGATTTTTCAAAATTTGTACTGAATTTTCAATTCAAACAAAATACTTTAGGATTTTCTTAAGGTTTTCACATAACGTTGGAACTTCTTTAACCTGTTGTTGTAAAATGTAAGAAGAAAATAATTTAATTATAGTTAACATGTTTTAGATAATGTTTGATTCGCCCAAGAAATTAATTATGGGCATATCGCCGGGTTGTTACGTACCAGTTGCGATAATATGATGGAGCTTAAATTATTTAAAAAGAAGACTGACATTTTTTTGTCGAGTGTTGTTAATTATCTCCATGATACAAATATTTAAAGGTAAAACCGCTCGCTCAATTCGTCGGCCATCATTTATTTTTTGAAGTTTGTCTACTTTATAAAATTGAAATTTTCAGAGCAACTCAAATGCCAAACAAAAGTAAAATAAAAAACAAATGGATGAAAATATTCAATNTTACGTACCAGTTGCGATAATATGATGGAGCTTAAATTATTTAAAAAGAAGACTGACATTTTTTTGTCGAGTGTTGTTAATTATCTCCATGATACAAATATTTAAAGGTAAAACCGCTCGCTCAATTCGTCGGCCATCATTTATTTTTTGAAGTTTGTCTACTTTATAAAATTGAAATTTTCAGAGCAACTTAAATGCCAAACAAAAGTAAAATAAAAAACAAATGGATGAAAATATTCAATTTTTTTTATTTATTTGAGACTGAACGTGAGAATGTATTTTTGAGTTTGAAAATTTGAAAACATTTTTGTTATGTTAGCACACTTCAAATATGTTCTCAGTGGTTAACCTTGTGTCATGGTTATCTCGAAAATAACTTTCAGTTTAATAACAACAAATTTGAATATTCGTTTATAACTTAAAACTCCTTTCTCAATTTTCTGACATTGTAAAAGAGTTTTGCATACAAGACATGGAGTTAGATACTCCTTTTAGCGAATTCTGACTCTTTCAAAGTTTTTGCGTAGTTGAAAAAATTATTTAAGCTATGAGGAAATATAGGTGACGTCCTTAAAGAGTGGTACTTTTTCACAGTTTGAAAAAGTATTTAATTTTGTNCAAATTTGAATATTCGTTTATAACTTAAAACTCCTTTCTCAATTTTCTGACATTGTAAAAGAGTTTTGCATACAAGACATGGAGTTAGATACTCCTTTTAGCGAATTCTGACTCTTTCAAAGTTTTTGCGTAGTTGAAAAAATTATGTAAGCTATGAGGAAATATAGATGACGTCCTTAAAGAGTGGTACTTTTTCACAGTTTGAAAAAGTATTTAATTTTGTTTTTTTTTAATACCACACTCAAACAAAGCAATTGAGAGGATCTTAAGTATAAAGTTTGTTTCCTTGCGCAAAGAGAGAAACGTATTGAATTCTTTGACTATTTATTTATGTACCAAAATATTGTTAAAAAGAAGAACTCTGGCGTTTTAAAGCATTTTCTGTTACTTAGATTCATAATTTTGCTTTGAATAAAACTGTACTGAAAAGTACTGATTTTTTAGCATGAAAAAGTCTAACGTACAGATTTCGCCCACCAAAAATCTGGCAACCCTAATTGGGTACCGACAATTCAGCACATCACTAGAGAGCAGTTTTATTTGCCGCTCTCAGTTGTCAACTCTACGACGACGTCACGCCAAAGTTACTCTCACGAATTCTGCTGCAATCGGCGCAGTCTTGTATTCTATCATTCTTGCCCATTCCTTAATGCGCAAATGAATAAATTAAAAAAAAGAGGTTTCAAGATCTAAAAGTTTTTTAGCTTACTAGAAGTAGTATAAATGTAATTTAGCAAAAAAAAGTGTTATCTATTCCACAAATATGGTAAAGTCCGAGCACTGGCTGTTGAGCAAAACTTCGCTGCTTCGCACGCAAGCGCATGTGCGTGAGTGCCCACCTCTGATTTAAATACTTAAACCCACATACATTATTTTCAATTTTATTCAAAACTAGTCCATACCCGGCGTGCTTTACTGCGCCTTAAAAGTATTTTTGTATTGTTTGATACCCGTATTGTAATATTTTATTTATTTTACCAATTTAATTAAATACAATTTTTCAAACCGATGGGAACCCTCCTCAAAAATAATTCCGGCAGTAAACTTTCCTGCACCTCTTCAGTTTAATGCCCATAATGCAACATTTTATTTATCTTATAAATTAAATTAAATTACAATTTTCAAACATGCGTAGGGACACGATATCGAACCGAAAGTATCGATATGGTACTCATTTAAAGTATCGCTTTAAAAATATCGGTTACTCATTAATATCGGAATAAAAAGACTCGATATTCCAAATATCGATACCAAAAACCAAAAAAATTATCTGAATATAGGTCCGCATATTGGCCGCTGGGGTGTAGTGGTTAGAAGTGCGCAAACCTTGGAAATTAAAAACAGCTTCCCATAAAGTACAATCGCCGTTCAGAGTCGACATAAAACTATAGGCACTCCCTTTGTGCCACAACATTAAGGCCCACGCGACAAATCGGAGAAGAAGTTCGGCGAAACACTAACTTATTGTGTAAGCGCCGGACTTTATTATTATTACAACACGTAGAGATTGAGGTGTTGACTTAAACACCGAGGCCGCGGGTTCAAATCCCCCACATGCAATCCTAACCATAGTACAAATTTCTGCACTTTAAGCCCAATTTATATCGGGAAGAATTGTTACAGGCCAACCTTATATGCGTGCGTAAAAAGCTAACTCAAATTCCAAGATTTGTCTTGCGTGACATTTCGATTTGATGTTTATGCTCAATTGGCATTTTGGCGCGACTATGAATTCAAATTTTTCTCGGCAAACTTCTGTAATTTTTACAGAAATGCAACTCTGAGAAATCACGCACGCAAACAGTGTTGCCGCGAATCATTTTTAGCGGTAGCCAAATTCTGTTAAAAAAAGGGCTAAAAGAGAGCTAAAAAAAGTCGTTGTGGCTAAAAATGGTAGCTAAATTTTTTACTTACATACATATAAATATATAAGTATTAGGGATGTCAATGATGATGATTTCGGGATCCCGGTCTTTTTTAAGTCCCGAATATCCCGGGATTAGTCGATTTAAATCCCGGGATTGCTGGAAACAATTTTTTTGTTAGCCAATTAAATTTTTATCACAAATATGCCCTCTCAAGGGCAAATTAAGAATTTTTTGCAACCCTTAATGCTATAATTTCTTTAAGATCGCATTACCATCAAAAGAAGGTGTTGCCGCCAAAACACCCATCGCCCGATAACATATCACCCATCGTCCGATAAACAAACGACCCATAGTGGAAAAGAAAAAAAATGACACATCGCCAAAAGTACGTGTTCGAAAAAGGAAGACAAATAGACGAAATTTTTTTAAAGCTGTGCTTTTCACAATTAATGAAATAAACGTGAATTAATAGACTGCTATAGAAAACAAGGACTTTTCTTTCTTTTTCCCCGTAACAATTCTTTAAAAAAATTTCAACCTAAATCATTAACTGGGGCCGAGCTCACCTGCAAGTGTACGTGTGGATTCATACAAGTGAGCGTTTTCAGCAGAACGACATAACGGCATCGGCCGGTATCGGCATATACATAAGTAGATCGAGAAAAATCCAGAAGCGCAATTCTTGAGACTTCCAGCAACGGTTCTTTCATACAAGCCGTCAAATTCAGACACTCGCGGCATACGTATACATTCACTTGGGCAAACAAGCGATCGCAAATTTGAGCGTTTTAGCAGCGTAGTCACAAGGCATGTGCGTATGCAAAGTTTGCGGGAAACAGTCAAATAAAGACGGCACAGAGAACTGGGTACAGTGCGACAAGTGTGAACTCTGGTACCACTTTGAGTGCGTAGGTGTAGACGAGAGCGTACAACATCAAAATTGGAACTGCTCCCTTTGTACCGAAGGTGGCGATAGTGCAAACGTTCTTTGCACTCCCGAAGATCCAATGTCACAAACACCTACAGCCACGACCACCGCGCCTCACGAAGTACCACGTGGTCCGGTCCCACCACCCGAAGCAGATGTGATCAGCGATGACCATCGAAGCGTTCCTATGGGGTTGAAACTGGATGAACGTGCTCCAACGCAAGTCGCATTTAACTCGTCACCAGCCAACGACGAAACAAACCGTCAACATCGACTCGCGTTGGCAATGTTAGAGGAGAAAAGAGCCGCGGAGGAGCGCTACATCGAACAGAAGTACCGACTACTTGCCAATATGAACTCGGCAGGCATGTCAAGCTTACAGATCGGAACAAGCAGCGGTCCAACAAGTTCTCAAATAGCTGCGCGACAATCTATTGCAAAAGACTTGCCACCGTTCAGCGGCGACCCCGAGGAGTGGCCTATGTTCGTTAGCACCTTCGACCATAGCACTTCAGCCGCAGGCTTTTCCAACGTTGAAAATATGCTGCGATTGCAGAGGTGCCTGAGAGGCAAGGCTCGCGAACTAGTCAAAGATAAGCTGCTCTTACCAGATATGGTTCCCGACGTCATCGACGTACTAAAAACGTTCTTCGGCAGGCCGGAGTACATCTTAGAGAGAACGATTGAGAGGGTAAGGAAGTTGCCACCGCCTAAAGACAAACTAGAATCTCTCATAGAATTCTCGTTAGCCGTACGCAATATCTGCGCCACAATGGAGACATGTAAGCTGGAGGCGCATTTCAACAATCCAATGCTGGTAAAAGAGCTAGTAGACAAATTGCCCAATCAGCATAAATTGAGCTGGGCGATGCATCCGCGGCGAGGCACTTCACCAACCATTAAAGAATTCAGCGACTGGCTCTATCGAATGGCGGAGGCGGCCTCTACGGTAGTATCACCCTCGTTCTACAAAACCAGCTCAGTCAACACGCATAGCCAAGGTGGGTGCACTCCGTCGAGAACCCCTCCTCCAAAGAAACAGGACATTCCGCAAAGGGATAACCGTTCCCAAGGACCAACTTGTGAATCGTTGGACACGCAACCCAAGCGTTCGACAATGAAGTGCATCGCGTGCGGTGAAGTTGAACATTGCGCTGCACAGTGTGGGAAATTCCATAGCTTGTCCGAACAGCAGAGGTGGGAAACAGTAAAAAAAGGTGGAGCGTGTTATCGATGCCTTAAACCCCATCGCAAAGGGTGCTTCTCAAAAAAGAGTTGCGGCATAAATGGCTGCTCTCGAAAGCATCATCCATTACTCCACAGCGAAGGTACCGAAACTCCCGTCGACGCGGAAAAGGACCAAGCCCACGTGAGCACGCACCGAAGTAACAACTCCAGTAGCCAATATTTCCGCATCATGCCCGTGAACCTTCATACAGCCAGCAAAACCATTAATATTTACGCGTTTCTTGACGAAGGTTCTTCCGTGTCTCTCATTGACGAAGCGGCGTTCGAAAAACTCGATATCAAAGGAGTACCAACACCTATATGTTTGCAATGGACCAGCGAAACTACACGCAACGAAAGTGCATCCGTAAGGGCATCAATACAGATCTCGGCTCCAAATACCGGCAAATTGTATTGGCTCAACAACGTACATACTATAAAAAATATCGCTCTACCTAAGCAAACGATTAACGTAAGTGAACTTCGTTGTAAATATCCGTATTTAAAAGGCATACCACTCCAGTCATATTACGACGTTCGGCCAACTCTACTTATTGGGGCCGACAACTGGAAGATTGCTGTTCCACGCAGAATTCGTGAAGGCAGAAGGGACGAACCCATCGCTTCTAAATGTTTACTTGGATGGAGCGTACAAGGTACATCGACCGCATCGAGTTACGTGACTATGCACCACTGCGACTGTAGATGGAAAGAACTGCACGACATAGTAAAAGACAGCTTTAGCCTAGATCCCGTAAAAATTCACAACGTACAGTCGGCCGACGACCAGCAAGCGATGGAAATTCTCGACCGGACATGTATCAAGGTGAATGGCCGATTTGAAGTCGGCCTTTTATGGCGCAACAGTAATGACACGCTACCAGAAAGTTACACCAACGCGCTCAGTCGCCTTAACTGTCTGAAAGCTAAAATCAAGCGAGAGCCAGATTTGTACGACAAAATTTCTGTGCAAATTCGTAACCTATTGCAAAAGGGTTATGCGGTCGAGCTATCGGAAACGGAGATTACCAACCAGAACAAGCAAACTTGGTACTTGCCAATTTTCATAGCACTAAATCCCAATAAGCCAAACAAAATAAGGCTCGTTTGGGACGCAGCTGCGAAATCTCACGGGGTCTGTCTAAACGACTTTCTGCTTACCGGACCAGATCTCTTGAATCCACTTATCGAGATTCTGCTCGCGTTCCGGGTTGGCCAGGTGGCGGTCTGCGGGGACATCGCGGAAATGTTCCACAGAATCAACATCCGCGCGGAGGACAGACATGCCCAACGGTTCCTATGGTATGACAAAGCCAGCAACAACGTAAACGTGTACGTAATGCACGCAATGACCTTTGGCATAAGTTGTGCGCCATGCATTGCTCACTACATACGTGACAAGAACGCAGAGTCATACCGCCAGCAGTATCCTCAAGCATACGAGGCCATCCGAAAGGCTCACTATGTCGACGACTACATCGACAGTAAGGACAGCGAGCAGGAGGCTCTCGACGTGGCAACTCTGGTTCGCAAGGTTCATCAAGCTGGTGGATTCGAAATCCGAAATTGGACCTCGAACTCCACTGAAGTCCTTATGCAGTTCCTCGATGCCGACTTCGCAGCGCAAGCGCCAGTCCAATTTGGTGGCACAGAAAAGGTGTTAGGTATGTATTGGGTGCCACAAACTGACGTTTTCAAATATGTTCTCAGGTTCGCCCGGCTGCGACGTGACGTACTGATGGATGGCCTAATCCCCACCAAAAGAGAGGTCCTACAGGTCCTCATGTCAATTTTCGACCCCCTGGGGATACTGTCGTGTCACACAATCGGCTTAAAAATACTCCTCCAACATGTGTGGCGAGCCAACATAGGATGGGATGAAGAGCTGCCTGAGTCACTACACCACCGCTGGCGTCAGTGGAAGCAACTTCTGCCAGATGTAGAGGCAATCGAGATTCCGAGATGCTATTCCCCGAATCTGACTAAATCGACTCGGGTAGATCTCCACACGTTCGTCGACGCGAGCGAATATGCATACGCCGCGGCCTCTTATGTGCGAGTACATCGAGACGACATAGTCGACGTGACACTGGTGGCTGCAAAAAGTAAGGTCGCACCGCTGAAGCCGATGTCCATCCCACGTATGGAACTCCAAGCCGCAGTAATGGGTGTACGTTTGGCTCAAAAGATCATCAACCTACGTGGTCTGAAAATCGGAAGCGCCACATACTGGTCCGATTCCAAAACGGTGTTACAGTGGCTAAAGATGGACCCCCGTAACTTCCAACAGTTCGTTATGCATCGCGTCGGAGAGGTCCTAGAAAGCTCCAACAATACACAATGGCGATGGGTTCCAACAAAGTGGAACGTGGCAGATGGGGCGACGAAGGTCAATAGTACGGTGGGAACTAAGCAGTGGCTGCAGGGGCCAGAGTTCCTGAAATTGTACGAGAGCGAGTGGCCGCAACAACCACAGCATTTCGAAGAAACAGATATGACGGAGCTGAGAAAACACTTACACGTAACTCGAAAAAATTATGCCATAAAATTTAACGTGGAATATTTCTCAGAGTGGCGTCGCCTATACAGAGCAGTAGCAACATTCCTCTTGTACTTCGATCGATTGAACGCTAAACGACTCAACCGGACCAAACCGAACAATATTACTCCGGAACTGATCAAAAAGGCGATCAACCTACTCTTCAAGCAAGCGCAGGCTGAAGCATATTCCGCAGAAATTAGTTTACTACGTGCAAAGCTATCGGTAAGCAAACAAAGCAGATTGGCTGGATTAAATGTTTACCTCGATGAAAACGGGATCATGAGGACTCAAGGTAGAGCCGACTCCATCAACTGCAGGAAAGACGCTATCGTTATGCCAAGGGAAAGCTACATTTCGTTCCTAATAGTAAAGGCATATCACGTCGAAAATCACCATATGGCTCATGAGACGACCATAAACAACGTAATGGCCTCTTATTACGTGCCACGTTTGCGCGTTTTATACAAGTCTGTGCGTAAATCCTGCCAAAAATGTAAGATAAATAACGTCGTGCCTGAACCTCGACAAATGGCGCCAATACCCGCAGCGAGATTGGCCAGCTTCGCAAGACCATTTACGTATACAGGCGTCGACTACTTCGGACCCATACTGGTAAATGTCGGCCGGCATAAGGAGAAGAGATGGGGTGTGCTTTTTACTTGCCTGACACTCCGAGCAGTACACTTCGAAATAGCTTACAGTTTGGATACTAGCTCCTGCATCATGTGCTTACGCAATTTTATGGCACGCCGTGGTACGCCGATGGAAATATACTCGGACAACGGCACGAATTTTAGGGCCACCGAAAAAGCTGTACGAGAGGAGCTGATGAAGATCGATTTTGACAAGCTAACCATAAAATACGACCGCATTAAATGGCGCTTCAACCCACCCGGCGCACCCCATATGGGAGGCGCCTGGGAACGACTCGTCCGAACCACGAAAATAATTTTGAAAGGCATCTGCCCGATGTATTCTTTCAACGACGAAAGTCTTCGTAGCGCGCTGATGGAAGCAGAGTATATTATCAACTCGCGCCCGCTGACCTTTGTAAGTCTCGAGTCATCGGACGACATCGCCCTCACTCCAAATCATTTGTTGCTGGGCTCGACAGATGGCTACAAACCTGTTTGCAGAGACGAGCTGGATCTAAGGCAACGCTGGCACCAAACACAACTCTTCGGTGATCGATTCTGGCACCGCTGGGTAAAGGAATACGCTCCAGTTCTTACTCGACGGGTCAAGTGGTTTTACAAATCTATGCCAATAGCCGTTGGTGACGTTGTCATTGTCATCGATGAAAAGCTACCACGGAATCTATGGCCAAAAGGACGCGTCACCAACACGGTCATAGCTAAGGACGGTCAAGTTAGGCGCGTAACCATACAAACTCAGTGCGGTATTATGGAGAGGCCAGCGACAAAGGTGGCTAAATTAGACGTCGGCTTAGAAAGAGGTAAACAACCCTAGGGTAATTTACGCGGAGGGGGATGTTGCCGCCAAAACACCCATCGCCCGATAACATATCACCCATCGTCCGATAAACAAACGACCCATAGTGGAAAAGAAAAAAAATGACACATCGCCAAAAGTACGTGTTCGAAAAAGAAAGACAAATAGACGAAATTTTTTTAAAGCTGTGCTTTTCACAATTAATGAAATAAACGTGAATTAATAGACTGCTATTGAAAACAAGGACTTTTCTTTCTTTTTCCCCGTAACNTTTTTTGCAACCCTTAATGCTATAATTTCTTTAAGATCGCATTTCCATCAAAAGAAGGAATAATTTTGCTTCGCTCAAAATGGAATAGGTGATGCACTTATACATTCATTTTTTACTTAAATGTGTTAACTTTTTTATTATTACTTAAATATACTGATAATATCTTAAATTGATCTCAAACAGTGATTTAAAAAATTTTATATAGTTACATAGGCAATTACTGCTGTACCAAATACAGTCACTTACAAAAATATTTTGCATAAATTTTCTTGCAATATTCAAAATATTTTTCATGGTATTTTTTTGTTAATTAAAAAAAATATATAGCTCATTTTACAACAAAAATCATGTAAATCAAAATTTCACACTTTAGAGAAAGTTGGTTTAAGTTCACCAAATTATCATAAAAATATCAAACTTTTTAATCATAATTTTTACAAAAAATTCTATTATGCAGTTTTATAGCCCATTCAATTTAATACAATAAAGTGCAATTTTAAAGTTGCTAAAAACTCCCTTGATTTTTGAATTTTTTTTACTGACGATGTTGGGCATTTTCTTCCTTATAACGAATTTTTTTGTAGCAAAAAAAAATATAAAACGTCAACGGGATATTTTCGCAACTTCAAAATTGCACATACATATATATTTTTTTAAATTAACAAAAAAAAAATACATACATACATATATGTTTGTCAAATTTTATGTTTGTTTTTTGTTGATTGAAAATACTGATTTATCGCCTTAATAAATATGTAAATGAATTACAAT